CAACCGCAGCCTAAAATTTCACAAGCAAACCTATTCTACTGAGATTTAGTGCTGAGTTTTGCAGAGCTCAGAACTTCTGATAGTATGTTTAACCTTTCACATTGTGGTTATTTATCATAGCTAGCATAAGTTTATCTTTTACAGTTTGTCCATTACTATATTTGCTACATGCCAGTGGGACCAGATACTTGTTGATTATTAAAGTAATCAGCAGTCCCCTGTGCAGCTCTTGCAGATTGCTTCCATGGAAATGCTGAAGCCAAAGTTGTCATGTAGGTGTATTATCTTGCAATCCCAACAATGTTTTCATAGGTGCCTTGCTGTATACACTGTATTTTTAACCTCCTCCATGCCTCAGGTAGCACAGGTCTACCTGCCCAGTCATCCTCTCCTTCAGGAACACTGCAGCAGAATAGGTAACATATATCAACACTGTAAAAAACCAAAAAACAGTCAACTCATTTTGAAGGATATGTCCACTTACCTACTGCTTATGAGAACAGACTTTTCCAATCCAAATTCAATTAACGCACATATAGTATCTATTTCCCTAGTGACACATTTTTCTGGCACTTGTATTTCTTTTGATTTTTTGTTATACCACATTTTAAAATGTCCCCATACTCTATAATGTGCAACCAATATAGTGGATTTTGGCAGATTAGCAGGACTATACCTAAGGGTAATCAATACCAAAGTTGTGCCTGTTCTCTTCTGTTTCTAAGGAGGAGCAGTCTTCCTTCCTCACTCTCTCTGTTTATTGTTGTATCAGAGAATGATCTGATGTTTGTTTTAACATTGAGATGAAGCCAAAGTCACTGGTATCCAGCACTCCCTAAAACTTCTGTGCTACTTGACTATTTATGTCATGCTCACTTGCTTACTTTAAAGAAGACTTTATTTCATTGTATCTAAGAATTTTCACATTGTACTGTGGCTTGATCTGAATATTATTTGTAATTACCTGGGTTCAAACCCAGTTGCCTAAGGGGAGGTTAACTTTCAAAGGACAATAACCAGTTCTGTGGAACTGGCTAGCTGGAGGTGGAGCTGATAAGGTTTTTTTTCCCCTGATATGTATCAAGCAGACTGGAAATAAGACCAAGAACATAGTCTTCCTATATAGACAATTTTTTGTCAAGCATTGTGGAAAACAATGAGAGTCTCTCGTAATGCATTACCTGTATATAAATGAATAGGGCAAAAACCTGTTGAAATATGTAAGGTAGTCTGTGTGATGTGCTGACCTAGATTGGTCTGCAGAAAGACCATACCTCTAGGACGGAACATAAGATTTGTTTGACATCTGTGCTTACTGTTTTCCCCCCTTGATTCTTCATAGCAGGTTGAAGAGGAGGAGTGGGGGGCTGCTGTGCAACACCATACTCGTCTTTGTGACATGCTTTGATGCTGTGACCCCCTTTGTGCACAGAATAGAAATGACCAGCTTGAGGCATGATCAGATCTCAGCCCCCTGTTGTTTCTCCATCAGTTTATATGGCTCTCTTGAGCTTCTGCTCCCAGAACTGCTCTTTTGCTGCTGTGCATAAAAAGCTCCCATGATTTATGAATCAATTAATCACTGCATGCTGAGGAACTGTTCACTGTAGTTAAACAGTGAAAATAAAATGTTTGAGTATATAATAGAGATGGATCATAATGAATATGACCCTCCTGCCAGTGAATCCCTCAATTCCTATCTTATTCCCCATTCGTCCGTTCCCAGTGCAGGCACATGAGTACCATGTAAAACTTGTCTGCTGTAGCTGGCATGGCATTCAACAAACTCTTCTATAGGGTGGTTTCATTTTTGCATAAGTTTGGAATCCTTGTTTTCTTTCTGGTTTTGTAGGAAATCAGTGAAAACTCAAAAATCAGGTGAAACTGCTGAATTCAGTTGGGTCTTGGGTAAAAACGATTAGTATGTCCCCAAACTTGCAAGAATAGAAAAGGATTGAAACTCTGTTTTGGTTGGCTGAGAGATTCACAAATGATAATGAACCTCTTGGTAATGAATTTGGGGTGGCTTTTTGTTTTCATAGCCCTAAATTTTTATTTTTCTTCTTTGCTTCTAGCAGCCCAGATATAGACTTTCCCCATCTTTTATTACAAAGAAATGTAGCCCAGACTACTACATGGAAAAGTGCCTGTTCCTATCAATCTATTCATTATGCAGTCTACTGTAGTTGACCTATAGATTATGTCAGGGTGTTTCTAAAGGGTCCACCCCCATAACTAGACACCTTTCTAATAGACACTGAACACTAACCTAATAGCTTCATTTTGGTAATATGACCCAGCTGGGTTGACAGGTCAGGGGAAGAACCCTGCTGCACACAGCGGGTGGGGGGAGAGACTGCCCAGGATGGTAAGTGGCTGAAGGGGATGGGGAGGGCAGCTTCTGACAGCTGCTGCCAGGCAGGGGGGATGGAGTCTCAGCATGTGCATGACCCAGGGAAGGGGGCAGGTGCAGGGGAGCCACTACCTTCCCTCTTCTCTTTCAGAGCCCTTGTCCTGCCTCTTGCTGCACCCTCATGAGAGGGGCTTGAGTGCTGGGGTAAGTTGGGCAGTTTGGCTTGTGGAAGGGTACAGCTGTGAGAGTCCTCGTCCCCTATGAGGCACCACTTACCCCAGTGCTTTGGATGTAAAACAACCCCCCTGGCCCTGATCCCAGGTCGGGGCCATAGTCAGACCTGTGACAGGGGGCACTCTCCAGGTTCTGGTTGCAGTACCAGCCTGCCTACCTGTCTAGGGCAGTTTGCCTGGTTTCCTCTGCCATGCCTTGTTATCAAGATACTAGTTATAATAATGTGGGAAGCTGTCCTTTTACTGCCCCAATTTCTGGGAGTTTACACACGACTCCAACCTTCCTTTATTGTGTCCTATGCCCACAGATGTTACAGTGTTGTTATCAACTCTACACGCCCTCTTGGCATGGAGCCCTCTGGCTCCTGTGTCTCTATACCCCTCAGGCACCAAGTTCTCTGGTGCCTGACTTTCTGTGCCTCTCTCCCAGGCGCCTAACTCTGCCTTTCTCTGACATCTGGCTCTTTGCGCCTATCCCTGGTGCCCAGCTCTACATCACTCTCTCTGTGCCTCCCTCTCTCTGGCACCAGGGTCTATGCACTCGTAACGGCTCTGCCCAGATCCTGTGCCCTTTTCCCTGAGCACTGATGAGGCTTCCAAACCTCCCCTATAGCCACATCCCGGTCCGCTGTATTAAACACCGTATTTGAATAACACAAATTCAGCCCCCTGGGCTACAACATAACATCACTAATGGAGACTGTGTTCTGTCTCTTTAAGAGGGTAAAACATTCACCCTTAGGACAACACATCTCTTAGCCCTAAGTACCTGAGGCCCCTGGATCCTCACTGTTCTTCTAGGCAGCCCTAGTCTCAGGTAGCTCACTTGGGCAGGGGCTCCTTTCCTTGGCAGTTGCTAGAGAGAGAGAGTGTACCTGCCAGCTCCAGTCCTAGGCTTATATGTCTCCCAGGGCCCTGCCTCCGCCTGGTCAACTGACCGCCTGAAGGTGTGGGCCAATTGCCCTATTAGGCTGTTGTTCAGGCAACCAGCAGCTGAGAAGCTCTGCCTAGCCTTTTGAGCAACCTGGCCAGGCTGCTTCTGCCCTTAAAGTAGCAGGCACATCTTGGTGCCCTGCTACAAGACCCACAGCAGCTGTTTTGCCCCTCTGCGCCCCCACATCCCCCTCTGCTCCCACTGGTGGCAGGCACAGTTAGGCATGGAGCACATGGGACCCTGCTGGCCCCAGGAGGGGCTGCACTTCCACGTGCTGCTGTGCTCTGGGGAGGGTGCCTGAGCAGCTCTGACAGTATGGGCAGCTCTCAGAAAGGAACCCAGGTATCCGGGGGCCATGGGATCCGGCTCCATGGGTGAGAGGGAACCCAGGCATCTGGAGGCCCCAGCAAGAAGGCATAAGTATCAGAGAACATTATCAGCTACAATGGCCAAAAAAAGCCTATAGCCAATAATGTAAATCTTCCTTTTATCAGTGCTGATCTGATAGGCAACCAATATATCAGTGCACCTCTGTATGACCTATCTACCTCCCTAGTGCTGCTGTTGGCTTCAATGCTGAAAACACTCTGCATAATTGGGACCAGAATTCAGTAATCGTACTTTAAGTTTGGTAGCATTTTACTTCATCTTGTGACTCATGGACTTTTATATGACTGCCTGCAACTAGTGGGGTATCATAATTTGGACTTCAGTGAACTACAAGATATTAAGCCAATCAAAATTTTTCATGTTTTTTTCTCGACAAAAGGACACTTACAAGTTAAGAAACTGTTCATGAAAGCATTTTGACTGTATCTTTTATCTTTTCAACCAAATGCTCCATGATTTTTTACATTTTTTATCAAAATTGTGTTTATAATTGGTATTGAAATATTTTGTTACTAAAATGGTGTTTCTGACTGAAAACCAGGTGTTATTTTGGGGGGAGTAAAATAACATTTAAAAACAATTTTGATAAAACATGGTTAAAATATTTGTGCACAGTGGGTCAATTTTGAACCCTCAAAACTGAAAAATACGAAATTTTGGTAAAATTTATTTTCTGGTGTCCAGTTACTCTGTTTGCTCTGAAGGGCCAAATACTGATCTGCAGATAAGAAGGTTTACATTTTATCAGTCATTTGCCTTAAGTGGAGTTGCTCTTGATTTCATCAAGCTAGGAATGAGGTGCAGTGGGATGAAGCAGGTTAATTCATTCTCTCTGCCATGCACTAAAGCTTGTGATGGTATTATAATATTTGCCATTTATCAATAAAAGTAAAATAAGTTTTCTCCTGAGAACAACCCAGTTTCTCATTTTTGTTTAACCTTGCTGCTGCCGCAGGTTCACTGGATCTAATGGCCTTTCTTTGCTTTTAAAGCTTATCACATAAATTGGCTTTTGAAACCTACAGTGAATAGTTGTGACATTTCACTGCAGTTAAACATTTTTCTCTCCCTTTCTCTGCTTGGTTTACAGGACCTGGCTTTCTCCTCAGTAATTCATGACAAACTCCAAGTTCCCAATACTATTCGGAAGGCGTGGAATGAGAGGGACAATAGATGCGATGTTTGTGCTACCCACCTGAACCAGCTGAAGCAGGAAGCCATTCAGATGGTGCTGACACTCGAGCAGACTGCCAACACTGAACCCTATGATGCCTCTCCGGGCTCTCCTCCACCCATCTCCAATATTCCCACCTTAGTGGGTTCCCGACACATGGGCAGCCTGCAGCCCAGAGATTGGGCATATGTGCCTACTCCCTATGCTACATCTAATTACACAAACTTTGTTGCCAATAAGCACAGTGGGAAACCCAATAGCCTTGGAATCATCAATGGGGTAGAGAAGAAAAATGGTTCCCCTGGACACCAAGCCAAGGTCAGCCTGCAAATGGCCACCAGCCCCAGCAATGGCAACATCCTGAACTCAGTGGCTATCCAAGCTCACCAATACCTTGATGGCACCTGGTCCTTGTCACGAACAAATGGGGTCACTTTGTATCCCTACCAGGTGAGTGGTCTAAAATAGATTATTGACATGTTTTCACTGCCTTCATTGTATTCATGTTTCTTTTCCATTTTCACACACTTTTGGTCTGGTCATGTAAATTTTCCTGCTTAAAAATGTGAATACTCCCATTAGCACTATGTGGACTGAACTATATTTTTCCAAGACAGATGGAGATGGTAGGATTTTCAAAAGTACCTGAGCAGGTGAGGTGAGAATCCTAACTTGCTGCTTTTGAAAATCCCAAGGGATCTCCAATGACATCATTAGGAACTAAAATAATGATTACTACTGTGTTTACTAAAACACTATGAGCTAGATATGAGCTAGATAGGTGCAGATAGTGGGATTTTCAAAAGTACCTGTGCAGGTGTACCCTAACTTGCTGTTTCTGAAAACCTGAAAATCCCACTGGATGCCTAGTTGCATTGTCAGGAAGCTAAATGCCTTTGGAATGTCTTTGTCCTTTGTTAATATTTAACAACATTTATCAGTTATGTAGACTGTTAGAATTACACCAAGAAAAAATGATTTATGAGCATTGAAGTTTCAATACTTTATGTCAAAGAAGATTGGGTCAAAGAAGAAGTGCATTGAAAATCAATTTAACTGGAAATACATGGCTTTCAGTTTTCAGGGCTTCATGTACTAGTGATTCTGAATCATATCAGGGGAAGTCTGTGTCTGATATGATCATCTGGAGTTTGAGCTGAGAAGTGGCTAGAGCTGAGCAAAGAATGTATCCTTAAAAGGTTGATTTATTGTTTGAATTAGGAAAGTAATTTCAAATGGGCCGTGCTTGCATTCTCTTTTGTTATTTTTGGTATTTGGCTTGTTTAGTTTTTTTATAATATGACTTCAATAAGAGCACAAGTTAAACCTGAAAGTTCAAATGTTTGACTTTTACTTCTTCAAAATTCTATAGACAAACTAATATAAAAGGTCTGCTCCATAATTTAGTCAGCTCAGATCACTTACTTCTCAACAGACTTGGGAAAGAAAAGACTTTTTTTTTTTGCAGTTTGCCCAGGAAATTAAAATTCTCTGATATATTCATTCATGATGATGATTAATTCTGAATTCTGTGTCCAATTTTAGTATTCAAAATCATGAAATTCTTGCTATATTTGTTGGCTTCATAAACTGACCATTTGGGGAACAGAAATAGTAGACTTTGTCTTATATAATTATCAAAGACCAAACAGATATCTTGAAGTTTGAATAACCAGTACTATCATTCAGCTGTTTGCAAGTTATATCAATACAAAACATAACTTTGGGAAGAAATTCACAAGTAATTTTAAAGGTGAATACATTTGGGCATCCTGATGTATATCTTATTGATAGAGAAAAGGTGAAATTTGACAAATACATCATTTGTTACAGTTTTATGTTATCTGTGCATTTATTTTAGTTTTACCCTTAGGTAGGTAGCGTTCATAGCTTGAACACCCAGCTGGGAGAAAAACATCAGGAAATATCAGTTATCCCAGCTTAATTAGAACCTTGATGGTAAATCCATTTTTCTTTAATTGAAGATGAAATGAAAAAATGTTTTAGTTACTTAGTTACTTGCTTGAGATTATTCTTGCTTGTGAATTATTTCTTTTTCATCCCCCTTACCAATAATGAAAAAATGCTCACTATTCAATAGGTAAGAGGAGCAGAGAAAAATTTCGTGGGACAAACAGTGTTACATTTCGAGCAGCGGTTCTCTGCCTTCCTATATCATAATTCTGTCAAACTGATGTCCAGGGAAAAGAGCTGTGGGACTGGCTAGACTTAATGGCTCCTGTTGTGGGCATCTCCTGTTGTAAATTAGCTTTAGTTAGATAGTATAGATAACCTGCCAGAAATAAGGTTGAGTGCTTTGAAAACTGACCTTATTTTTCCTTCTGATATACCACTGCTCCAAAAAGAGGAAATGCTGGCTCAGATCAGAAGCAGTACCACTCAGAAGCCCTTAAAAGCAGTTTTACATACCCAAGAATTACCCTAGTTACTGTACTTTTAAGAGTACTAACTTTCCTCTTCTCACCAGCCTCTGCCGAAATCCAGACCCCCCCCCTTTATGATACAGGGTATGAATCACAGGATTGCTTCACTTGCATTGAAAACTGTTGAAATGAAAGGACCTCTGTGAGCATTTCCCAGGGCTGCTATTCTGAAGCAGTGAGGGGCACATCTAAAGAGAGTTCAACTATTTTCACAGAGTGAGTAAATAATTACTACCCAAGGGTGCATAAAACAAATGTAAATTCAAAAACCTGCTGGTATAGTAATTTATCAGCTGAAAAATAGCAGCCTTGAGTAGAGATGGGTAAGAAGCAGAAACCAGATCCAAAAACCTCCGAACTTTCCAAGCTGTGGATTTCAAATTGGCATTTGGTCCAGAAATCTGTAATAGGCTGAACCAAACTATCCGGTCAGAATTTTGTGTGTCATTTCCAGTCTTCAGAGAAGTGTCTTCCTTCTGAAAAAGAGGGGAAAAGGATAGAAGAGAATCTGAATGTAGCTGTTTTTCATATTTAGCTGTTTTTTGTTGTTTTTTTTTAATTTTCAGCCAGTAGCATAATTTAAGGGTGCGTGGCTGGGGCAAGCCCTGGGTGCTTTGTCAAGGACATGGAGGCAGGGAGTTTCAAGCTCTCACTGTGTGGACTGGAGGCCTCACAGCCTCATCCTGCTGCAAGGGGAGCTGACACCACCAGCAGCTACGTTAATCTTTCCCTGGTCCTTCAGCTGCCACCCAATGAAAGGCTTTGCCTCGTTGCTTGCCATATAAATCTGTGGTGGTTGTGGGGCCAGAGAAGGATTAACCTGACTGTTGGCAGCAACACTTTGCTTTGCAACAGCATCCTGCCACAATTCCACTCCATGTGGCCAATGTTTTGATCACCCTGCCTCCCTTCCAGCACACTGGAGCTCAAATCTTATCAGGTATGTCTGTTGTCCAGGGCACAAACTCACTCCTGATGTCTCTGCTTTTTTTTGTAAATTTAGAATAGGGACAACAATATTCCTAACATGAGTTTTTTTCAAATTAGCATTATTAATGATTTCAAGGAATTAATAGGAGTTAAAATCCAGCCTGGACCTGACCTAGGCTGAGGTTCACATTCAGGATGATATTCATTTCTATGCAGTGTTTCAGTGGAAGTCATATGTACCCTAAAGGCTTTGTTGTATCTTAAGTGTCATAAAGACTCTGGACTGGCTGCCTGTACATTGGTGAGGTTTACTCTTAAGTTTTTTTACTCACTTCTTGCTCAAGGGAATATGAATGAAAACAGTGATACTTGATCTGAAAAAGGATCTTAGAATAGGATAGTTGGCCTAATGTTTCATCTTACAAGATAGCACAACGTTCAGTGCAGTTCTGTTGTAGATTGCACCATTATGATCTGAAATGAATTGAAAAGCTTTAGAGCTCTGATGGTATGAATGTAAAAATTCCCAAATCCCATGGTGCTTACAAAAATAAAGTGGAGTAACAACTTAATTGAGCTGTGTTGTGGTAAATTTTCAGTGTATAGAAGTTTCACTATTTATTATCTAAATCTGTTACTTAATGCACTTGTAGAAAAAAAAATGGGGCCTTATTAAAGGAAGGCACACCGTGAATGAATTAGTGGATTATGCTACTTTGAAGTAAGGCGCTGCTATTCTGGAATAAGAACATCTACTCAGGGACCTAACCAAGATGAGCTGTCCCTCTTTAAAATTCACTCCCTATTTTAATCCAAATAAATCAGAAATAATTCCTTATGTTGGCATACCCGTAGCTGGAAGACAAGAGGTTATGCCATCTTTCTCAAGTTTTCTGATTGAGGCACTTCCTAGTTCAGTGGTTCCAGATCTTTTACCCAGCTTTTCTCTGTACCAGAACTCTTCTAAAAGAGGCTGGCAAACAAAGAAAAAAATCCCTATTTTATCAGAGAAATGTCTCTTTGGCCAGTTTTTTTTGGTAGGGGAAGAAAAGATGAAGCATTTTGATAATATTTCATTTCATGTAGACTTTCTCTTAATGTTATACAAGTACCTTTTTGCATATATTGTATGTAATTTTTTATACAAATTCAAACCTAAAGGAATTAAAGGAATGCTACGGAAAAAAAACAACCTTTCAATGGTCCTGAGTGCAGGGCTTCCTATTGTGAAATGTCCTTTACAGCCATTCACAGACAAAGGAAATTTCTTATGATCTTCTTTCACCACACAAACTCTTAAGAAATATACCACATTTTCTCGCATTTATGCCTCAGAATAAGATATGCACCTTATTTTTGAAAAGCAGAATGAAGAAGAAAAGATCTTTCCTCATAGTAAGTAACTGAGTAGGAGCAGCTAGGAAGCTGAGCCCGCTAATTGTATTGCTCCTTGTGGATCACTGCAGACTTTTCTTTTGCTTTTGCCCTACAAGCGGCAGTATTTGTGTTTTTACTGTATTTCTCCCATATAATGCACATTCCAATTTCCAGCAGCTTGTTTAGGGAAAAATTATGTTTGTTTTACGTGAGAAAAATGGCATGAATAAAAATTGAAACCCACTGTATATTGTTTGAGGGGTCATTTGATAGGATTAAAAAAAAATTCAGCTTTTCATTCCAAGTTGAATGTTTTTCTTATGAAATGCTTGAATTTGTCAGTGAATGGAAATTCTGGTTCCCAGTGAGCTCAAGTTTTTAGGTACTTTTGTATAAAACTTCTGATACAGTTTTGGGTAACTCTGTGAGGGTTCCCTCAAAGAATTCAAACCTCTTCCCAGAAGAGGCGAAGTAGAATCTAAATGTATTTTTCTGTCTGAGAGTAGATGAGTTTTAACCCTTGGAAAAGTTTGTATGAAGGCACAATATTATTGGATTAGGATTACATATGCTGTGCCATACTCTGGTAGCTCCGCCTTAGTTCTGACCTTTGATATTCCTTGCTTTTCCAAACCCAAAACTCTTAAACAGAGAACGTCAAATGTGCTCCATTGTATGCTTCCCCACTGGACACTGATG